CTGAACCGCCTGCGGCCCCGCCGGCCCAGAGCTCCAGACCGAAGCTGGGCCCCGACGTGCCCGGGGAGCGCGGGCGCCAGGTGGGGCGGAAGGCCGGACCTCGCCTCCAGGCGGGGGGAAGGAGGGACGTGGAGCCCCGCTCAGAAGGCCCAGGGCGCACCCCCCACCTGCCCGCCGCGTACCCGGGCGCGCAGGGCCTCGGCCTGGCGCAGGTCCTTGCGCAGGGAGAAGGTGGTGGTGGTCTGCTCCTGGAGGTCCCTCTGCGCCTGCCGCCAATCCTCCTCCAGCACCTGGATGTAGGGGCTGCTCTGGTCTGGCTTCCCCTCCTGTGGGTGCGAAGGGAGAGGGCGGCAGTACAGCGGGGCTGGGAGGCCCAGGCCGGCCCCCCCGCACCTGCCCCGCCGTGTCGGCCCCTGGGGCCCCACCTGGACGGAGGCCTGCAGCTCCTGCACCCGCGCCTGCAGCAGCGCCTTCTCCTGCTGCAGCTCCCACAGCAGCTCGTGGCTGGGCCGCTGCTCCATGGCGTGCTTGAGCTTCAGCGTGTGCCTGCGCTCCACCGAGCACTCGTCCTCTGCCTTCATGAGGCTGTGCTTGAGCCCGTCGATCTGCGGGACCGGCTGTCAGCACCAGCCCAGGACCCCGGCGCCCGCCGCCCGCCCCGGGAGCCCCGCCGCGCAGGGCACCTCCAGCTGCAGGTCGCGGTTGCGCATGAGCGCAGCGCCCCGCTCCTCGCTCTGGCGGGCCAGGCGCAGGGCCAGGTCGTAGTTCTTGTCCTTGCAGCGCTGGAGCTCGCGGCCGCCCATCTCGCAGGCCTCCTTGAGCCTCTGCACGCGCTCCCGGTGCTGGCGCAGCAGGCTGTCCTTCACCCTCAGCTCCTCCACGAGGTCGTCCTTGGAGCCCAGCAGTGCCGTCAGGCCCTGCACCTTTTTCTGCAGCTTCATCACCTCGTTCATCAGCAGCTGCATCAGGCCCGACTCCCCGGATGCGTCTGTGGACCAGGAGGGCGTCACATGACGCACGGTACACGCGGCCTCTCCCGGGCCTCCGCTTGAGGACCAGCAGCTCCAGGGGAGCCCGGCCAAGGGGTCAGTTCCCAGTTGCGCTGCCCCCCGTCCCGGAGGTGAAAACTCACCTCCCAGCCCTGTCCCCACCCCCCACTCCCAGGGCAGGGCAGGGCAGGGCAGGGCAGCCCAGGGCCTGGGTATCCATCCTTCTTTGTCTAATTTTGTTACCATCCTGACTGAGAGGCAGGGGACGCGACTCGGGGCCGCCTCACAGGCTGCTGGGGCGAGCAGGCCTGGCCCCTCGGGCGTGGCTTTAGCGGGGTCACGTGGTCTTCTGGGAAGGAGGGGCTCTGAGCCAAGAATCAGCCTGTGCACCCCACCTCCCACCTGCTCCCCGCTCCGGAGTTCGGGTCCCCCTTTCCTCCAGCCTCTGCTCCCTCCACGAGCGTTAGAAGGAGAGGGGGGGCTTCCCTGGCGGCGCAGTGGTTGGGAGTCCGCCTGCCGATGCAGG